TGATCAATACTAGGGAAATAGAACATTCGTACAATCCTGAAGGGAAGGACAACTCTTTTCATCAGCTTTCTCACACAGCATCAAGAAGTCAACGAAATGGAGTGCTCTGGAATTTACAGCAAGGACTGCGAATAAAAATACATAGGAAAGACGGGAAGGACAATCAGCACAAGGATCAAAGAGCAGCAGCAACTAGGCATAAAAATGGGTACGGAAAGATCGGAGATAGCTGAACGCATCGTCATTACCGGCCACGCATTTGATTGGAATGCAACAAAAAGATTGACCTCATATGGGCAAAATACCAGGAAACAGAAGATCAGGGAGGCTGTGGACATCCTTTTTCAAAGAAACCTTATGAACAGGAGATTGGAAGGGGTAAGAGTCAGCGATAATTTCGTATGTTGCCTGAATAGACTTGGAGATTCAACGAATACATCCAAAGAAGACGTTTGGACCCAGGACAACGTATCAGCATCAGGAAGAGTCATCATCAAGGCGTGGCTCATGAGGAACAAAGAGAACTCAGACGTGTAATTGGCTAAAATAATTATTCAGGGAGTTCACCTGTGAAATGTAGAATATGTAGTTATAATCTACAGGTATAGATGTGTTATATTGAGGTCACCAGTGTGTTTTTCCTATATCTTTCGGAAAGCGAGGTGACTGATGACAGGCTTGACAATGGGGGGCACGCAGGTACATTATCCCAGTACCCTGGGATTATGTATGATTGTTAACCTGAGAGACAAATGGAGTGTGTTTTTTGCGATTCAAAGGAGAGAAGAGATGCAATGCATTCTCACACCAGTGGTTATGACTTAAGCCGGACATAGTGCACAAGAAGAATGACACACAATGTAGGTGGGGATGAGGGAGAGGAAGATTACCGGGCACTAGCATGGGTATGGACATGGGCATCATCTGCTTTAAATCCTCGAATATGGTATAATCGTGGACGGTAATGGAAGCGTCTTAAACAGCCAGATTTCAGACAGCCAAACAGTGATTTTGATCTTAAGCAGTGGCCAATTGACAGCGGGTAAGGAAAAAAGGGGTGCAAAATGTAGGTCAGGAGCCCTGAAAAATCCACCTGGTATCGGTAATGGAGATTATTACGCTTCCATAAACCCAATTGTAGCGACACATTCGTAGGCGACAGTAGAGGAAATGAGAACACAGAATCGTGTGGATAAGTGCATTTGCCATATGAAGTGAGGTTGAGATAAAGAGGTGCGGCGCCAGAATATAGAACAAAAAATAGGGGCATGGAGTGATTCTACAACGGTTGAACAGCAAATTGGTCAAGGAGGTTCTCTTCACTCGTCACTTTAACGATTTGTAACTGGCCCTGGTAGCGATGCCGATCACGTTGCCGGCAAAGCATTTAGGAATGTACTAAGTCAATGATCCAATGCTGGAATTCACAATTACTATGGCAGAAGCCACGGGATTAGGTACGTTCCACAAGGTCTCTGATAGCGCAACCAAGTTGTGAAAACAATATCGAAGCAACGTTATAAAGCTAAAGGGGATTGCGACCAAACAGAAGGCCACCATTTTGGTCTTAATATCTACGAGAAATATTGTTTATTAGAGTTATCGGATTATCACTATGATCACATGATTTTTTGTTTCAATTAATTTTTAACCCATCTATCTTTACTCATTGCACAAATCAACTACCACATTTTCCACATCCATTTTCAGAGTTTCTCTGAGCAATTCGAGGAAAAATCTTCAGTAGATAGCACCAGTTCTCACTTAGATGAAAGTGACATCTCACCTAAACAGGTTGACGAAGAAAAAGAATTAGCTCAACGTAAGAGAGGTTTATTAGTCAACGACCAACCGGATGATTACGATTCTCCAAATAAGATTGATGAAAAATCGTTGAGTCCTACTTACGTAGACTTCGCAAATACTGAAATACTTTCATCATTTGAAAGTCCAGCAAAGCGCCGGAGGATGGATGACCTTCACTCAGATGATCAGGTAGATCTTGAGCATTCGCACCATCAGCCTACGAGCCCGACTCACGAATTCGTGAAGACCGTCACCCCTAGCTTCTCAGATTCCATCCGTTACGGGATGATTAAAGAATCGGATAAAGTGGGCTCTATTGCACTCGAGCGCTTTTTCGATGAGGTCAGTGTGATCATGCCTTCTAACTTTGAATATCCGTCGCTGGATTTTCTTGTATTTCTCACTGTTGGCTGCACTATTTGTTAGGTGGCTATTTTCTTTGTAGTTTATTTCTATTCCGTAAACCTATGGCCTAGATTTAATCATTGTCTTTTCTAGAAGCATAGAATTTGCCTCTAGACAATTTGGTCTGAATGATAAATTATTTTGCATCGTTTAAACTAATTCTCATATGATGTTAGGTACATTTGTCGCATACAACATTGTATACATATACATCATTCTAGCATAATTACGAATCTGGTTCATTCCATCATGCTTATACATGTACGACATTTTTCAAGGCTTACATCTTATCCTTTTTAATTTTCCCAAATGTGAACTACTAATCAACATTCTATGTAAAACATTACTCGCTTAACGAAGGCCTGCAATAATCTTTTATTTTCACCTCTAAATAAATTAATAAGGTTATTTGGCTCATATGTTGTCTTACGCCATCCGATGCATAATCAGAATTGGTTAACTCCATTAATATTCATTTTGAACTTTATCATGAGGTTGCCCTATATTTAATTCAATCATTTCATTTGCTTTGTAAAATTTGCTTTACCTTTGTTCACAGGTATACGAGCAAAGTGGATTATGCAACTAAGCTGAGCAGACTCAATTTGTTTATAGCGTTAGGTCGATCTTATTCACTTGGCAGAAAGATATTTTTTTCTTTCGTTATGATTCTTCAAGTAAATGATTTTCGTTACTTAGGCGAGACCCTGTAATCCTTTCTCATCTCTCATTAAAAATTACTTTACACAAAATGTATTGACAAATTGCCATTTGTTTAGTTTCATTATCCCCCTCAGTAAGATCATTTTTGAAAACACTTTAGCCTATTGATTAACTGGCAATAATTCTTGCTGTTTTATAGCCCTCAGAAAG